CCCTGGCTAGCAGCATAAACTTTGGTTTTAATAAATAATCCAGATTTATTGGATCCGATGTTCTTCTTTTAACCCGTCTGGGTGTCATGTCCTGTCTGCAGGTGAACATGCCTGAGCTGGCCTTGCTACGCTTTGTGGTGCTGGATGATGACTACATCGGGGACGATTTCATCGGCCAGTACAGCGTGGCCTTCGAGTGCCTTCAGCCGGGCTACCGGAACGTGCCCCTGCTGGGCCTGGCAGGAGACCCCTTACCACACACCAGCCTTTTTGTCCACGTGGCCGTTACCAACCGGAGGGGGGGAGGAAAGGCCCAACGGCGAGGCCTGTCGGTGAGGAGGGTGGGGCGACGAGGGAGGGAGTACGTCTCTCTGAGGCACACCGGGATCAAAGCGCTGGATGAGGTGTTCAAGCAAGCCAGCGGCCCCATCAAGGAGGCCACCGACCTGCGGGAGGATGCTCAGGTGAGACAGGAAGTGGGCGGGGTTTTCCATTACTGTGTTAGCTTTGTGTGCTTTTTACACATCACCACCACTTCCTGCTTTAGCATTAGAGTAAATATCATCCTCCTAACTGGTTGATGCAGGGATGAATCATGAAGAAAATGAAATGAATTATTATTAATATGGATGCAAACTTCACCTGGAAGCATTCAGACTGTGATGCTTTTCTTAGAGGCGCTGAACACCTTAAAGTTAGCTGGAGTTCACCTTCCAACAGGAGGACAACCCAAACATACTTCAGAACTACAAGGCTTGGTCTAAACCAGGCATGTCCGAAGTTGGCCCCTGAGGGCCGCTGTCCTGCATGTTTTAGAGGTTTTCCTGCTTCAGCTCAGCTGATTTCCCTTGATAGCTGATTAACAGGCTTTAGTTGAACTGCAGTCATCATAATGAGCTGTGCTGAAGCTGAGAGACATTGAAAACCTGTAGAACAGCGGCCCTCGAGGACCGACTTTGGACAGACCTGGTTTAGACTGATCAATCTCTGCATGACAGAACGGTCCAGTCAAAGTTCACACCTGAAAAGATGGACTTTTAAAAAAACTGCATAATCTCCATCCAATAAGACTGAAAATGATTCATCGTATTAACACAGGTTCATTAAAGGGCTTTAGATATAAACCTAATATGTTGGTTAACATTTTAAAACTGTTTATACAGGCTTTTATTAATAAGTGCCATCATTTTAAACATGACATGCACACAACAAATCATCAATGATCACGGTGGGGCTGATGCCTATCTCCAGCAG